AGAACTGTGATATTTGGTAATATAGTTGATAGAAGTGGTTACTGTCTTATAAATAGTTTCTATATATATTAATGTATAACTTTATAACTGTGATATTTGGTAATATAGTTGATAGAAGTGGTTACTGTCTTATAAATAGTTTCTATATATATTAATGTATAACTTTATAACTGTGATATTTGGTAATATAGTTGATAGAAGTGGTTAGTATCCACTGTCTTATAAATAGTTTCTATATATATTAATGTATAACTTTATAACTGTGATATTTGGTAATATAGTTGATAGAAGTGGTTACTGTCTTATAAATAGTTTCTATATATATTAATGTATAACTTTATAACTGTGATATTTGGTAATATAGTTGATAGAAGTGGTTAGTGTTCACTGTCTTCTAAAAAGTTTCTAAAAATTTCAGTGAAAAAAATTGTTAGATCATAAACCAACTTAAAAAATTCCCCACTTTTTCATGAGATAAAAAGTATCGTCAAGTATCAATGTATGACCGCGCGATATATATTGTGTATCATGGCATGTCGTATCGCAATTCATTGATTCACCGATATATTGCATGCCAGCACTACTTACAACACGAGCCTTATTCTTATGAAAAATTCTTTACTTCGATTCAAATGGTCAGTCTCACCAAGTGTTGTAGAACTATGGATTTTACAGCCCATATTTTGAAGAATTTATTATTGTATCCCTGTAATACACCAGTATATCTCTCGTATTCTACAATGATTCAAAATTATTTTAATCTCATGATAAACACTTCAAACATTGAGAATCAGAAAATAGAATTTGATATTCCCTCAAGTCTATAACTATAGCACCTCTCTATAACTTTATAAATCTGAAAGGATACAGTGTTAATGTTGGCCTTTTTCACGCCTCGTTTCTGAGGTTCTGAAAGCGAGGTTCATAACACAAATGATCTCATCAATGAATAACAAGGAACGAATAATCTATGTGAAAAGGGGCTGAAATTGCCGTTTCACGGAAAAGTGAATAGCATAATGAATTTCTAATTTAATGATATGAAATATGATTAGTTTTGAGATTGGAGAAGGAGGCTTTAAAGACGTCAAGTT